AGCAGCAATACCCAAATTTACTAGAATATATTAATTACAGACCTAGCAGATTCTTCATAATTTTCCAGAAATCAAAGACTGCATTTAAAAAGTAATGAAAAAATCAAGAACATAATGGACACTATAACAGGAAAAATTTTCCCAGACACCCACAAGGTTAAACTATGAAGCCAAAGTCTCTCAAATGCATTAGTTTGCCTATGTGCTCAGCCACAAAAATCGACACAGCAATTGGAAAAACCAACGAGTTGTCTGACCTAACGGAATAATTCAATGGGACGCCTCCTCGTCATAGCAATTGCATCAAAATCTTCTCATGAGAAAATAAAATTGCCTATTGAAGGGCTTGTCTTTTTGCACTTTGAGGGAAACTGGTGAATCACATATTCTGAATCAGAATCATGTAGATTCCAAGATATGGCTACTAGGCAACAATGATGTACATAATCAAAAAGTTAAATCAATATTTATATTACTTCCCAGTTAGAGTGGAGTACTAATATCATCTTCTGATCATTTGATCTTAATCCACATGAATATCCATATTGCACTCGCATTATACCATATTTCATTCTAATGTAAAATGATAGAATTGACATCTATTACTACTAAGTGATAACCACAACTTTACCTTAAGTTGCTTCAGTGGACAGGAGATAAAGATGAAAAGATTTCAAAATCAACAATGTAATTGAGAATTGCAGACTGGTTTTTAAGATTAAATCTCCTTTCCTTTTCCCATCATGTAAATAGAAGTAAACCAACTAAAACTATGAGGGAAAAAGAAAATCAGCTTCAATATGATACTGAAGATAAAGATTAAATTAAATACCTGGTATCAGTTACGAAAAAGAGATCCATAACTCTCCCATCTGGAGCAGTAGATACCTTTACTCTCTTTATTGTAAGCTCTAGCTCACAAAGAACTTCAGTCACATCTACAAGAGAAAAGGAGAACGCAATAAATAGAGTTAATTTAAGGCATTCCTACCACTATCTAATGGTTGCTAGGAAGAGCTCAGACCTCTAGCTAACTTCCTATATTTTTACCTTACTATACAAGATCAGCTTTTATATTTTTACCCATTAAGCAATAACCATATTATGTTTGTTTCAGCTAAAGCTCAGCTGGAAGATTCCTCACTTATGATTTTTCTGTAATCTTCAAGTTTCAAGTTTCAAGGAGTGAAATACCCAGATAAATATATATATATGTACATTGTAAAATAAGAAATTACATAAAAACTCAGGAAAGAAGTGAAATCAAAGAAAAGGAAACTTTCTTTCCAAGAAAGTGAAGATTCAGGGTTTAGAAAAAAAAAAAGAAAAAGAAAGATTACCATGTAATAAGCCTTTCCTGTAGTGAGAACACCAGAACTGCAAATAGAAAACATCTGGCGGCTTCGGCTGCTGGTTTTCCGGCCGGTAATAGTAGATTCGTGATGTAGAAAAATATGATGGGCACACCTCCAACAACCTCTTCTTCAACAAATTCCACCTTGTATTTGGTTTTCCAATCACCCATAAGACTATGTAACACCATTTTCCATCCGTTGAAAAATCTTCACCACACACAAGAACAAAAACTCAATCACTTCAATCATTAACCAAGAAAACCCAGTAAAGAAAACAAATTAGAGATGACCAATAATTTCTTTCACATTAATTATTGACTCCTGCCCTTATATCCTCGTGAGAAAAAAGAAAAGCCAGTAAAGAAAACAAAAGAAAAACGATGACGATCCATTATTTTCTTCCAAGAACCATAAATTCTCTTACCGAGTAACCTTAGACCCACTGAAATATTTCATAATATAGAAGGGAAAATAACCACAAAATAAAATCTATCAAGAAGATTACCTCCTCTGCAGATGCTCAAACCAAACAGCAAAATCACCCTGGTCAAATCACAACCCAACCCGGTTTTGTCAGGGCAATTAACAGTGATCACCGTGGAATCTTCCGCCTTCTCTGCGTGATTAATGACCACCACATCCTCATACAAAATGCCCATTTTCTTCTCTCCCGTTTTCAGGCTCTGTTTTCTCTGGTTTCGGCTTTGCGACGAGTCATGAAATTATCTGAACAGATAAGTGAAAAGCCGAAAAGCCAACCAGACCCAGTCCGGTATTTTCCTTCAGCTATTATCTTTGCTGCGCTCTGGTGTAGCTGGTGGGTAATGGATTGGATATTCCGTCAAAATAGTGAGCAACAACTAAGGCTAGTAAGAAAACAGATCTCTGTCTCTCTCATCCTCTGTTCTTCTCTTTCTCGCTTCTCTGTTTTTTTTTTTTTCTTCTGCAGGAACTTTCAATTTCTCGTTTCTTTCTCGTTATCTATTTTTCGGACTTGAGAGGGAGAGAAATCAATTTTAAACGTAGTAATCAGCTATGATCAGGTTTACTGGTCTCGGACACGTGGTAATATATTATTGGCTGAAACTAAATTAAAGCTGACTTGTAGGTTCTATGGTTTTAGGTGAATGAGGATGTAATAATTTTGAATTTAATTATTATTATAAATTAATATTGTAATTTCGTCAGTTAAATTAAAATTTAAATGAAATTTTAATAATAAAATATTATGTAATCAGAATTTATAATTAGAAATCATGAATTAACCTTATAATATTGTCAGAATTTCATTCTTTTAGTTAATTATATTCTTATTTTATGTAACAAAATAAATAATATATAGTTTTATCCGCAAATAATTTTAAAAAAATTCTACTAAATTTACATTTTTTTAATAAATATTTTATTTTTAAACTTTTAGGTTTCTTTTATTAATTTTTTTTATGATTTCATATTAATGAGGGAAGAAACTTTATGATATTTATATATTAACCAATATTTTTAAAACTAAATTAACATATATATAAATACTTTTAATAAAATATAATAAATAATATTGATGTTGTATTCGCACCTCATACATACATATATATATATATATATATATATATATGCAAACAAATCAAATATAATAAAAAGAAATTGCAAAAAAAATATTTTAAATTGTGAACTAAATAGCAAATATGATTTTGAATTTTGAGAAAACAAATATTATTAATTAAGAGGTATATTAATTATTATAATTATTTGAAACTAAGAAATTTCCTAAACTTAATCCTTTATTTTTTTTTTCTTAAAAAAATTACCAAATTAATTCTCAAAATATTGTATTTGTTATAATTTATTTTTTAATATTTTTAATATATTTTGATCTATAATATTTTTTATTTATTAATTTCATTTTATTTTATAATTAAAAAATAAAAATAATTGTACAATTTTTGGATGTTTAACAAATAATTGAAGATAATGACTTTAACTAATTAGTTAAATCAATAAATTTATAAAAAAATTTATTGTTATTAATTATTTTTATTAATTTATTTATTTACTCAATATTATTTTTTAAACTATTGTTTAAATATCCAAACATACAAAAGTATGTATTATGTTATATTAAGAAAAATATACAAATAATTTTTAAAATATGCTATGATTTTCTTTTTTTAGAGGATAATTTGTTTTTTAGGCATGTGTTAATTGTCCTTCTTATTGAATTAAATTAAATAATATTGCATTTATTATTTTGTAATGGTCCTCTCAAATTCTAATGGGATATTAGAGATTCAAATTTATTAAATTAAGGCAATGTGATTTTTTTTTTTCTTATTAATATAAAACATAATAAAGTTTAAAATATTTATCGTTACCATTTCAAGAAGCTTATCTGTTATCATATAATTGTCAATCTTTAGATAAAATTTATAACCCCTTAAAATTAAATTGCTCCATAGATATTTATTTCATACGTTAATCAAACCGAATTGATATGAGTCGGTTCATGAAAAATTTAAATCTATATCAAAATAAGACAAGATAGACTTAAATTTGAAAGTAACTTAAATATAGATATAAGTTGTATATATATAATTTAAATGTGCATATATATGTATGTATATTGCGTGCGTGTGTGTAAATTATTATTTAGAATTAATTCAAAAACTTTCTCGAGTCTCCTCTTGAGACTAGAGAGGTGAAGTATGGGTTAGGTGAGACAAAATAGTTTTATTTTAATATAATGTGAATAAAATATAATTTTTATGATTCAACTTTGCATATGAAACATGTTAAGTTTTATGTTATTTGTGAATAGATCGAATTCAGGTTTTATAAAATTTATATCGAACATGATTTGTTGACATCCATATTGACATTTGTACTCATTATTATTGATATGTATTGTTATTAAGTTATAAAAATTAATATAAGATAACGTAATTTTTAAATATTATTTTAATTTTTTAAAAAAGTAAGATATTAATTTAATAATTAAAATTAAATTAAATTATTTTTTTGTATGAGTAATCTTATATAACAATGAAATAAGTTTTCAACGAGTTATATCAAAACTGAATTAACTCGTCATACAAAAGTAAATTTGAATTAAACTAAACATGTTTAATTTATTTTATATTATATTAAATTTGTTAATTATTTAATCTAAGTTGGGTTCGATTATTTTATTATATTAATGTAAATATAATTATATATATATATTAATTACATTTCTTCTCACAAATTTAAACCGACCCAAATATTAAAACTCATAAAATGCACAGAAGCTAAATTCAAATTAAAAACTTTTAATTTAATATATTCAAAAATATATAATAATAATAATGTAATATAATTATAATTTCCATAATTACTGTGACAGAGAATAGTCCAAGAAGTCGGCTGACGGGCCAGAATTTAGGCCACGTTTGGTTGTTCTTTAATTCCTTTCGTAAAAATAAACAAATTAAAAAGTCAAACATACCACCTTTCATATTCTCCTTTCCGGATAACTTGGAAAAGACACGACAACTATATTCTGATATTTTGACGATATGTTTGGTGAGTTCTTGATCACCTAACGCTCTTTATCTTCCTCATTCCAATAGGATCCCACCACGTGGGCGTCCCCACTCGATCACGTGCTCTTGACTTGGCCAGGTCCCAGGTATGATTCTCTACACTGCCATTCCACGGACTACCAATGTACCTCCACTCACGATCTGCCACGTCTTGGCTTGGTTTTAGTTGGTCCAAATCGGGACCGTTCAAAATATGCAAAACCCACTTTTGTATATATATAAAAATATTATATATTTTAGATTTGAATTAAAATTATAAAAATGTAAATTTCAGATTTTTATTAAAATTATAAAAATTATGTAATTAATATTTGAAAAACAAACTCAAAATGCTTGTCTCCCTTAATTGTTACGTAAAAACTATATATATATATATATATAAACATCAAAATTATATATGTAAAACAGTTGTTGTATATATAACATATATACAATCTAATTGCCTTCTTAAACTATATATGTAATTAGATATACCCTTAAGCTCTAAAGTTGTATATACTTGAAGCTATAATATATATATATATATATATACACTGTAATGTTGACTAATTTAGTCTGACAAAAATTCCAGGTGGCAATCTTACAAGACATGCACGTACCTAAACATGCCACCACATCGCGTCAAACACTGCCACGTGTCCTCCACCCGCTTACTACCCTCTGCATGCTGCCACCTTCATTACCTGACATTTTACTTCCGAAACTACCCTTCCCCTTTCCCAGCAATTTTCAACTTTTAAATGCTGTGATTAAAGGGCAATACGGTGAATTCATTTATTCAAAACTATTATTCTCCGTTCCCTTTTTAAAGACGACGATCGGGCAAGAGCAGCAAGTAGCTGTAAGTGAGCAACAATGGCGGCGAAAAGCCTAGCGTTGAACTTCATTATAGGGGTTATGCTACTCTGCGTGGCTTTATCTGAGACCTCACGAGACTCTTCCATGCGCCAAGTCACAGACGATTCAATCGTCAACGATTCTCTCCTCGGGACCGCCACGGAGAAGCGGTTCCTGTCTTTCATGGCGACTTACGGGAAAAGCTACCCTACGAGAGACGAGTACGTCCACCGTCTGCGGATCTTTGCCGGGAATGTTATTAAGGCCGCCGAGCACCAGGCGCTTGACCCCTCCGCCGTGCACGGAGTCACCCAGTTTTCTGATTTAACCGCCGAGGAGTTCGAGAGGATGTACACCGGTGTTGTGGGAGGTGGGTCCCAGATGAAGTCGGGTTTGATGGCGGCGCCGTTGTTGGGTGTTGATGGGTTGCCGGAGAATTTTGATTGGAGAGAGAAGGGTGCCGTTACTGAGGTCAAAAAACAGGTGTGTGTATATATAGTTTCATAAATTATTATCTTTCTTGATAATTTTACTAAAAGAATTATTAAAGTTGATGACTTTAATAAATCAATATTAATTATTAATCTAATTTGGATGAAGGGTACATGTGGATCATGCTGGGCTTTTAGCACCACCGGAGCTATTGAAGGTGCTCACTTTATAGCCGCCGGAAAACTTCTCAGCCTCAGCGAACAACAGCTTGTAGATTGTGATAATAAGGTCAGTTTTTTGTTCATTACTAGATAATTAATTTATGTTTATCAGACCATTAATTCATTACTTGATCATTATGTTTATACCCATTGGTCGGATGGTCGAGAATTTGATCTGAGTTCAATTCTGACATACGGAGAAACAAGAGAGAATGGTGATATTAACTCTTACCATTATATATATATATATGTATATGTATTAACTCTACGTTGTTTCAAATATGTTTATATGTACAAATGAAGTGTGATCCGAAGGACAAGAGAGAATGCGATAGAGGATGCGGAGGGGGCCTTATGACAAATGCATATAAGTACTTGATTGAGGCAGGAGGTTTGGAGGAGGAGAGCTCTTACCCTTATACCGGAAAGCGTGGCAAATGCAAATTCAATCCGGAGAAAGTGGCTGTTCGAGTTGCAAATTTTACCAATATCCCAACAGAGGAGGACCAAATTGCAGCCAATTTAGTCCGTTATGGTCCTCTAGCAGGTAAAGTTAATACATAATTCTTACGCACCATAGACATATACACTACATTTCGATTGTACATTATAACATATCGGTTCAAGCTTTACGAAGCATTGAACAAGCAATAATATTTGATTGTACATTATAACATATGAGTTCGAGCTTTACGAAGCATTGAACAAACAATAATATTTGGTTGTGCATTATAACATATGAGTTCGAACTTTACGAAGCATTGAACAAACAATAATATTTGGTTGTGCATTATAACATATGAGTTCGAGCTTTATGAAGCATTGAACCAGCAATAATATTTGATTGTGCATTATAACATATGAGTTCAAGTTAATAGTTTTTGTATGCATAATGTAAATGTGTCCATAACTTATCTAATAGCTTCGTGAAGGATTGAACAAATAATAACATCTTATTTTCCATTATAACATATGAGTTCGATTGATTTTATAGTTTTAGTAATTCAAGTAGTAAAATTTTTAAGTATAAACGAGTTAGAGTGATACGAATATAGTAATTTCGACTCGCAATAGATTGAATAGAAAATGTGATATTAATTAATATGAGATGTTGATATGTGAAATAATGTTGAGATATTGCAGTTGGATTGAATGCTGTATTTATGCAAACATACATTGGAGGAGTATCATGTCCGTTGATTTGTAGCAAGAGACGTATCAACCACGGAGTCCTGCTCGTAGGGTACGGGGCAAAAGGGTTTTCAATATTGAGGCTGGGCAATAAGCCTTATTGGATCATCAAGAATTCATGGGGAAAGCAATGGGGAGAGCATGGATATTACAAGCTTTGCAGGGGATATTCCATGTGTGGAATGAACAAGATGGTGTCTGCAGTTGTTACTCAAGTGTTCTAAGACTGGCTTATTTTCCCTTTCTTTTAGCTCTGTGTTAGATTAACGGGACATGCAGTGTAATGTGTAAGATACAGATATAATATATATATATATAATATTAATAGCTCCGAGAGATTACCATTTCAAACTCACAGCTTCTCTGTAAGCATATCAATACGGAAAAGGGAAAGGATCTCTCCGATCGATCTGCTTCAATATGTTCATCAGTTTCTTCACCATCCTGCATAAAATCCAGTACCTGCATTTAACACCACAAACTTGGTATCAGATTCAGATACACACACATATATAACTGCATAAACATACAGTGACGAACGCTGTTGCTATATATGATGCCTATATACATATAGATCGTAAAATTTGAGAGGAAAGAAATCGAAGTCTGAGTTGCCTTTTGTAATCATCGCCTTCTCCATGACCGCTCTCTCTTTTTCATATTAAGAAATTTATCTTCTTCAACTTTTTCATATTAAGAAATTTATCTTCTTCAATAATTTTTTTCTCATCCAGTCTTAGCTGTTTCGACGTTCTTGTTAACTACAACTCTGCAAATAATTAGAAATTGATAGAGAATTCAAGTACACTAATTACATTTATGAATTCTTCCTATATTCTCATCTATATTACTTACAGAAAAACAAATTACGAATTTCAAAATTTACTTATAACATATGTTCATTAGAACATGAAATGTACAAATTAGTCATTGTAATCACATGGTAGAATTAATTAGAAATAGGGAGTCACTGTATATGGTTATTGTTCATCGCATGGGAGTGAGACAAATTTCATATATGACAAGTCAGTAGTGGTGATCATGAACATGAAGAAAGAAAGAAGTCTAGTTGGTAACAATTAGGTTTTGCACACTATAAAAAGGCTCTTCTTAATCCTGCTTAATTCATCACATCTCCATTACAGATCTAATTAAGTTAGCCAAAACTAGCAATGCTTGCCAACGGTATCAAATTTATGATGGATTCCCCACAACCCCAAGGAATGGCTCAAGGTAAGCTTCAAGAAACTTTGATTATTGCTAAAAACACTTTATATTTTATCGGTTTAATCCTAAAAATACTTTTAGAATATAATTAGTTGTGTTTTTTTCTATAATTAATTTGACTTTAGAATTTAATTCGACGAGAATGTTGAATTTAATTTAGATATTTCTTGGAGAGGAGAAGACTACGAAGAAAACAATTTCAAGAGTCTGTCGAGGGGAACGAAA